CGCTGGGGTCCCAGCAGGGCACTGCTTTAGGGAAGCTCACAGCGCTGGGGTCCCAGCAGGGCACTGCTGTGGGGAAGCTCACAACGCTGGGATCCCAGCAGGGCACTGCTGTGAGGAAGCTCACAACCCTGGAACACTGCTCCAAGCTTTCCTCTCATCCCCTCCTACCACACCTGGCTTGAGACCCAGTGCCAGGGACGGTTCCGCATGGCCCGGCACTCGGCTTTGAGCCCTCTCTGCCGGATGCAGGGGGCCCCCGTGCAGAGCCCCACGGCTATCTGCAGCCCTCGGAGCCCGCTCACCGTGCCGGAGCCCCCGACGGTGGCGTCTCTGGCCCTTTAAGCCTTGGTTGTGTAATTATGGTTGCGCGGAGCTGGGAGTTTTTCTTGGCCCTGGGCCAGCGTCTGCAGCTGGAGGCTGGTGGTTCTCCTCCGGGATTTTCCGGGGCTCTTTGCTCCGTCCATCCGTCCGTCCGTCCAAGGGGCGGAGGGCTGCGCTGGAGTCAGAGGAGGGGAAGGCGGGGGGCGAAGGGAGAAGTGGCTGAGCGAGGGAGGAGAGGATAGAGGGAGCGGAGAAGATCCTGCACCGGAGGGGGAATTGGGGGCCTCCCCATGCGGGGAAGAGCTGGATGGAGAAACCCGGCATCCTAAAGACGAGCGCCACCCTGCCCTGCTGACCCCCAGGTAAAGCTCCGCAGTTGACAGCCAGGGGGAGCTGCGGGCGAGGCGGGGACAGGACAGGACGCCCCTCTGATCGGCCCTCTCCGCCCCCTCCACCAGGGGGCAGCCTAGGGCAGAGGAGGACCTGATTGCTAAGAGGACTTCATCTCGCCAGGGCTTTGCCCAAGGAGTGTCTGTCAGGGGTGTTTATCAGCTGGCAGGTGGTGCCCGGGGGGGTCCGGAGCCTGCTACTGGGAAGGGTGGGCAGGGCTGGGCACCGTCCCCCAGCAAGTTATCTCCGTTCAGTGCTCTCCGGATGCCTGGGTCCCTTAGAGGTGATGTTACGCTGAGATGACACCTTGCGAGAGGGGGGTTTATAGACTGAGGCATCATCTAGTGTTTAGAGGACTGGTAGCAGGACTCCTCTGTTCCTTGCTCTGAGAGGGAGTGGGGTCTAGTGGTTAGATGAAGGGGGCTGGGGGCCAGGACTCCTGGGTTCTATCCCAAGCTCTGGGAGGGAGTGTGCTCTAATGGTTGGAGAAAGGGGGGGGGGGGAATAGGGAGCCAGGACTCCTGGGTTCCGTCACTCGCTCTGCTACCGACACAGAGTGACTGTGGGCAAGTACCTGTGCCCGCTCTGTGCCTCAGTTTCCCCACCCACAAGCTGACTTTCGTGGAGGGGGGGATGAAGTGTGGTGGTTGGTAGAAGCAACATGCTCTTCAAACACTGATCCTGTTCGTAGGAAGCGGCCCCAAGCGGGGCTGGGGGGGGCAGCCAAGGGCCCTTTCCACATGGCCCTTGCTTCTCTCCCAGAGTTTCTAGTTACGGTGCTTTTCCCACCTCCCAGCCCCCTCTCCATCCCGCAGGCCGAGCCAGATGTTTTCCCAGGCCGAAGCTGAGCGGGGAGAGGGGGCAGGAAGTTTGCACTGAGGATGATTTGTGCGACACACTTTGCTCTGGACAGCAAATGTTGTTCAGACAGAAACTGCAGGCAGGGAGGGGAGGGGAGTAAACAGGCCGGGGGACAAGGGAGAGGATAGCAGAAGGGATGCAAGGTGGCTAGCAGGAGCCGTGGAGGAGATGGCTCTTGCGCCAAGGTGGGAGGGGCACCAATTGCCTAGCCAGGAGGAGGGAGAGGAAAGGAGATCGGATGTGTGAGGGGCTCCTGGGGTGGGATGTGGGGAATGCAGGCTGCGGGGGTGTCGGATCAGTGAGGGATTTGTGGGGCAGTGAGGAGCACAGGCCGGGGGGTGTCAGATCAGTGTGGGGCTCGGGGGGTCAGATCAGTGAGGGATTTGGGGGGCAGTGGGGAGCACAGGCCGGGGAGTGTCAGATCAGTGTAGGGTTCAGAGGGTCGGATCAGTGAGGGATTTGGGGGGCAGTGGGGAGCACAGGGTGGAGGGGTCAGATCAATGTGTGGCTCGGGGGGATGGGGAGTGCAGGCGGGGGGGTCTGATCAGTTCGAAGCTCAGAGGGATGGGGAGTGTAGGCCAGGAGAGGGGGGCTCGAGGGGAGCTCAGTCCAGAGCATGGGTGGCCAACCTGTGTCTCCGGAGCCACATGCGGCTCTTCAGACGTTAATATGCGGCTCCTTGTATAGGCACCGACTCCGGGGCTGGAGCTACAGGTGCCAACTTTCCAGTGTGCCAGGGGGTGGGGGGGACTCACTGCTCAACCCCTGGCTCTGCCACAGGCTCTGCCCCCACTCCACCCCTTCCCACCCCTCCCCTGAGCCTGCCATGCCCGCCCCTCGCTCCTTCCCCAGCCCCCAGAGCCTCCTGCACCCCACGAAACAGCTGATAGGGAGGGGCAGGGAGGGAGAGGGAGGTGCTGATCCGCGGGGCTGCCGGTGGGTGGGAGGCGCTGGGAGCGGGGTGGGGGAGCTGATGAGGGGCTGCTGACGTATTACTGTGGCTCTTTGGCAATGTCCATTGGTAAATTGTGGCTCCTTCTCAGGCTCAGGTTGGCCACCCCTGGTCCAGAGGGTCAGCTCAGCGAGGGGCTCGGGCAGGGGAAGGCAGATGGCCTGGGGATGGCAGGCTGCTCTGGGGGGCTGGAGAGGTTTCAAAGCCTGGAGGCTGTGTGGGGCCAGGAGTGGGTGGGGAGAGCTGTTGGAAGGGGAGGGGTGGGGAGGAGGCGGGGGGACGTGGTCTCATTTCTTCTTATGCAAGGGGCAACCCATAGTCTTTCTCCTGCCTGTTCCTTCCTAAGTGCCCCACCCCCATGGCTCCAGGGGGAGCGTATAGGCCCAGCCGGGGGCAGGGGATGTACCTGGCCACTCAGCCCCACAGCTGCATGGGGAGGGCGGGCCGCGGGGTGGCACTCAGTTCAATCCCTCAGCTGGCTCGTTAAAAAGCCCATCTAATTTTACGACCATTGTTAACAGAGATTTATGGCCCCTGGCTGATTCAGTCTCATTCTCCAGGGCGTGGGGCGGTCAGGAAGGAATCCCCTCTGCACAATGCGCTAGGTGTTTTATGGGGCTGGGGGGGAGCAGTGACACATCTGGTGTTGGCCACAGGACGTTGCCCCAGGGAGACCCTGGCTTGGCAGAACCCACCTGCCTAATTCTACCTTCCCTGCCTGGCGGGACCTCTGCGTGCCTTGTAATTAGGGGCTTGTTGGTACTCGGTGCTGGCATGCAGGGCTGTGGCGCTGCCAAGGCTGGGATGCCTGGGGCTCTGCCCGGCCCCGGTCCCACTAGCTAGCGCCCAGCCAGCCGTGGCTTGTCCTCTCCCTGTGCCGGGGCCGGCTCCTCCGTCGGCTGATGTGCACCCAGCTGGCATGGGGAGCGAGAGGGTGGGGTCTGGGGGTCTGGCTGCAAACCCGGGGGGGGGGGGGTTCATCCTGTAGCCATGCCCTGTCTCCCAGAGGGTGAGGGGCAGAGGTGTGGGGAAGGAGCGCGGTTGGGGGTCCCTTTAGGTTCTTACAGTGAGTCCCTGCTGCTGCAAAGACGTCCGGATCTGGTTCCTGGCCTGCGATCCCCATCCCACCTCTCCCCCCAAACCCCTCATTGATCCAACATGCCCCCCCAGCCCGTGTCCCCATCCCACCCCCTCTGATCCCTTGTGTGATCCAACATGCCCCCCACCTGCCCGCATGCCCCATCCCCACCTCCCCCCAATCCCCTCTGTAATCCAACATTGCACCCCTGGCCTGCGCTCCCCACGCCACCTCCCCCCCGAGTCCCTCGCTGATCCGACCCCCCTGGGTAGTCTCCCCGCCCCCTCCTCCGCCAGTTCCCAACCCAGCCCTAAGCCCGGGCACCAAGCGGAGTTGCTGGGGCGCTCGCGGTTGTTGGGTGAGCTCTGGCAGGGAGCCCCGTGTCTGGCCAGCTCCCAGGACGGTGCCCAGGGTGTCAAGGTGGCTTGGACGGAGACGTGCCACAGGAGGCAGGGCAGGCGGGGAGCGGGGATGGATTGCCAGGCCCTGCTCCCTAAGCCAGGCCTGCTAGTGCCCCACGGCCCTTGGATACACAGCACCGCCCCTGGCTGTAAGGACCACGAGAGCGTGATAAGGATCTCCAGCACTTCCCGTTTCCTGGCTGCCAGGAGATAAATAAACTCTCCTGGATACTCGAAGGGCTCAGGGCATGGAGCTGGGCCAAGGGGGAGCCGGGCAGGAGGGAGTGGGTGAAGGGCAGAGAGGCGTGGGCATGCAGGAGCTGACTCCGGCGGGGGCAGGCTGGCACTGGGGGGGCGGTGGACGGGAGGGCGGGGCGGACACTCAAGCACGGGCTTGGGAACACGGAGGCCACAAGCCCAGGACCCGGCCGCCGCCCCCGTCTTAGCGTGGAGGTTAGATGTACCCATAGCAGGATGCGCAGATCTTCTGTAGCAGCTCCTTGCCCCACAAGGGGCGGGGGGGGGGGGGGGGGGGATTGTACTCCCCTTAATACCAGCTCTGCCCCCAAGACTCCGGCATGGACCCCCTGCATCGACCCAGCGACCACAGCGCGTCCTTTAGTCAAAGCCACCAAGGCATTATGGGAAAGGCAACCTTGGCACAGCCAGGTGCCCCCCTGAGGTGGGGGTGTGGGGCAGGGGAGGGCTCACCGGCCCCCTCCGAGTCTGTTTCCTTCTCTCTGGCTGGAGCCGAGGGGGAGGGGTGGGGCCGGGGGCAGGTGAGGTAGGGTCCGGGCTGAATGGGCTCACTGTGCGCCCCCAGCCCGGGGTGGGGCGCAGCCTGTTTATGTTTCTCTATATATAGCCTCCCCCCACCCACCCCGGCCATTCCGGCCTCGCCGCCGCCCAGGCCCTGCCATGAATCGCGGCCTCTGTGTGTGCCCGAGCTGGAAAGGGCCAGCCCGGGCCAAGAAAAACACCCCTTCCCCACGGCCCAGGGGGGTCCAGCCTCCTCACTGCACAGAGCCCGCCTCACAGGCCCCCCCGCCCCCAACCCAGAGGAGGAGACGTCCCGTCCGGGGGGGGGTGGAGGAAGCGTCCCGGTGGCTGCCACCACACAGATTTCCAGGGGACGCTGCCCGGCTGGGGTCCCCACACCGCGCTGACCCCCTCTGGCTTCTTGTTTCAGGTGGCGTCATCCTGCCAGCCCCTTCCCCCGCCTGAACTGGTAAGTGCCGAGATCGGTCTGTCCCCATTCGCACCCCTCTGGCGATCTCTCACTGAGCCACTGGTGGCTAAAATGGGTAGGGGTGGGGGAGAAAGGCGGTTGCCATGGGCCAGCCACGGGAGCCGCCAGCCTTGCTACCCCGAGTCCGTATCTCCTGGCGCTGGGTCCCTGGTCGATCTCGCCAGAGGCCTGGGTCGGGGCCCGGATGGGAGACGGCTCAGGAAAACCCCAGAGCGACGGGCCGCAGCGTGGGACGCTCAGAAAGGAGCCCTTGGCCTCGGCGCTGACCCCAGTGCCGGGCACCAGGCTGCTGGCGATGCCATCTTTCAGGCCAAAGGGAGAACCGAGCACCTGGTCACTCCTGCTCCTTCAAGATCCGCTGGAACTTTTTTCAAGAATGAGAGCCGCCTCCACCCGGTCCTGGCCAAATTCCAACCTGGATTGGGTAATGCCGGGCTCCCTGCTGGGGCGCTGGCAGCAGGAATTAAATCTCAGCCTTCGGGATCTTAATGCATGAGCTAACAGATCCACCTCGCCTCGCTGACCCCGTAGCAGGCTCATCAACCTCTCCGGCCTAGATCCCTGCAGCGGCTGCTGGAGATGCACAGCGCCACTGGCATGGAACACACTCGGATTCACTTCCTGTCCTAAACGGGATGCAGTGTAGCTGCTAACCAGCTGCCACGTCCCACCCCAGAGCTGGCTGCATTTCAGCGCTGGGTGAGCCATTCGCCCATTCCATTGGGCGCTTCGACTTTCGGGTGCCCAGCTGGAGGCCTGATTTTCAGCAGCTAGAGCTCCTGATCGGAGTCCGTAGCGAGGCCGGGTAAATTCCAGGGGCTTCTTCTAAACCAGCGGGAAGTGGCGCAGATCCCCATGTGCCGAGTGAGCCTTGGCATCTGGTGGCATCCGGGCCTCAATGCCGGGGCGTATCCTGGTATGGAAAGCTGGGATACTCCCACTGGATGGAGCGTGGTGGCCGGCCTTCCTGGCCAGTGATGTGGGGGGGGAATTGGAGAATAAAACAGCCAAGGGCTGGGTTGGCTGGATGGCTTGTGGGAGCGGCTCGGGCTAGTGAGTAAGTCACTGGTTCGAAACTGGGTTGGGACAGCAATGGCTACTATTTGTCACCGGCTGATGGTTGTTTGGTGGCCTTTGCCTTTGGTGCCTCAATGGGCAAGCATCCCCTGTGGCTGGCAGGCTGGGTGGGAGGGAATAGAACTCATCTCCAGAGGGAGTCGTCGCCCTACGGCTGCCTGCAGCGCGCCCGGGTGCGGCAGAGCGGAGGAAGCTCGATGCCGCTGTCTCTGCCTGGTGCACAAACAGCTGGTGTGGACATCAGCCCTGGGACCTGCTGCCTGGTGAGCTCAGCCCTTGGCAGTGAAAAATCGTCCCACTCCACCCTGTCAGAGGAGATCCAGATGTAGCATCTCCCAGCCAGTGGCTTTGGCAGGAGGGTTCCTCTCTGGCCTGAAACAGGAAAGTTCCCTGGGAAACACTCCAGGGGCCTGATTCTCCATCATGCTGCGCCTTGAGTTGGCACAGGGCGGGCAAATGACGCCAGCGTGTGAAGGACAGTCAGGCGAGGAGCGTTCTGATGATGTTCAGAGTCGCGGGGGGCTATAGTGGGACTCAGGGGGCCTGGGTTCAAATCCATGCTCTGCCACAAGCTTCAGGTGACCTTGGGCAAATCACTTAGTCTCTCCGTGCCTCAGTTTCCCCACGTGTACAACAGGGATAATAGCCCTGCCCTGCCTCATGGGGGCGCCTCAGGGAAGGTGAGGGAACTCACCTAGATACCTTAGCTAGAAGTTGTGGCGGCCCCAGCCCAGAATTTCTGGGCTGCCAGCCTATGGTCCCTCTAGCCTGATGCTGCCGATGCAACACTAACCCCCACAGGCAGCTTCCTGACCCCCACAGCTGGTGTCGGGCCTGGAGCATGGAGACTGATCACCCAGATTTGCTTTCTTGGTGCAGTCAGGACATAGTCTAGGAGGCCCCTAGATCCATTCTTGGGCACCTAAATAACTGCTGGATTTCCACCAACAGCCCCCATGGACTGCAACAGCTTTGCCCTTAATGGCCATGAAACATACGAGGATGGCAGCCCACTAGGCACCCCTCCTCCATGCTTCATCTTCCATGGCCACATCCAACCCTGGCCATTGCTGGAGACGGGCTACGGGGCTGGATGGACCCTGGGTGGGTCTCTTCTAGGCCAGATGGACCATGAGTCTCCTCTGGGAGGATGGGCCATTGGTGTCTTCTGGACTGAACGGGCCACCGGGCTGTTCCCCTCGGCTGAGTCCTGTATTGCCCTCTCCATCCCTGGAGTCAATCGTAGCCCTATGTGCCCATGGTCAGTGTCAGCGTTTGGGTGACTCCAGCACCCCACCCTGCTCTATGACCTAGCTCATGAGCACGGGGCCGAGAAGCTCCTGGAACTAAGAGCCCCCTGGACAGCGTTAGCTTTCCCCACCTGTCCCCTTTGATCTGAGACGAGCAGGTGTATCCTTTCCCAAGGCGATTCGCTGGCAGACCTCCTCAGCCTGATGTCAATTTCACTTCCTGCTGCCCGCCAGTTGTGCCAGCTGGGCTCCAGGTCACTTGGGAAGGAAATGGGGCCACGATTCAGCTGAATTACGTCACGAGGCCGCTTCAGTGAGGAGCTCCGTTCCCAACAGCCGGGGGGGCGGGGGCACCCACTGGCTTCCCCTGAAAAATCTCAGCAGAGAGGCCCCCAGGCTCATCCCTCCTTATTACCTGCCTTAGAGGGCTCAGCTGAGATTGCGCTGGGTGCTGTACATGTGACCGCTGCCCCCTTGGCAAGTGCCCCAGGGAACAAGAAGCATGAGCTGCTAAAGCACCAGGCTCCAAAGCTGTGAAAGACTCAGGGGCTTACATAACAGACAGAAGGCACGCACAATCTAACAAGGGGATAAGAGGCTGGAGGGGAAACTGAGGCATACAGCAGCTTAGGGACAGAGCTGGGACTAGAACTGGGGTCTCCAGTGTCCCTGGGCCACACCTGCTCACAAACAGGGAGCGCCACCAGCTGAGCCTCTTGCCTGCTTCTTCCCCGTTCCTGACGTCCTCCGCCCCCAGCTCCGGGCCACATCACGCAATCGGTGGTTGTGGGACCAGGGGAGGTTTACAAACTCTAGCTGCTGACCTCAGGGCCGGCTGGCTCAGCGCCCAGGCCTGGCGTCTCAATCTCCTTCTCCTCTTGTCAACTCCCCTCGCTCTCTCTCTTTTCCCTTTTCCCCGTACTCCAGAGGCGGAACACTGCTCCGGCCCGGCGCATCGAGCACTTGGTGAGTCCCCGCCTCAATTTATCCCATCGGACCCCAGATCCGTGCCCCATTCCTGGCGGGAGCCGGCGGGAGACCTTCCCTCTGCCCCAGGGGAAGTGGGGAGAGATCCCATCCCTCTCCCCCCCAAAGCTTGGGGGATGGCTGGATGCTGGGATTTTTGATAGGGAGGGCTACAGAAATGACACCCCCCCAAAAAAAATCCAGGGGTGCTTCAGTGGGGGTGGTGCCTAGTGGGATCTGCGTATAAAGAGCTGAGGCAGGGATCCCTCCCGCGCTGGCCTGCTCCCCCAGCCCTTTCCCGGAGGAAATAGAAGAGAAGTGGCTCCCAGACCGAACAAACGAGGTGCCAACAGAACTGGTTTTCCACACACCCCCCACCCCTGCCCTGCCTGCTCCCACCACATGGGGTGCAGGGTGAATGAACTTCCCCACCCTCACTTGAGACCCGCCCTCGCCAGTCCCAGGCATAACCCCCCCAGCGTCGTTACTCTTTGCAGGCTCGCATGAGACGAGTGTGGGAGGCCTCAGCTCTGTCCCCCAGGGATGCACCCCTCCATAGCTGGCTGCCGGCGGCACCGCCCGCCCTCCTGAGTGGAGAGGCCAACGGCCCAATAGGCCAACGGGACTGGGCTCATCCCAAAGGGGAGTGCAGAGGCGGCAGGGGGGCAGGGATGCTTGCCCCAGTCCTGTGCTGTCCCCGCTCAGCCTTTGGTCCCCAGGACTGTCAGCCCAGGCCCTTTCCTTGGGGAGAAGGCTGATCTGGGAAGCAGCCCTGGGGGTTGCTGACCCATAGCGCCTGGGGAATTCAGCCCCGGGGAGCCCTCTTCCTGCCTCGTGGACTCTGCCCCGTCCATTTCAGTGCGGGGCCGGGGGCAGGCTGGCCTGTGATGGGAGAGGAGTGGCACTGCATGGGGCATTCTGTGTGAACGGGGGCCAGCCTCCCAAACCCTCCCCTTGAGACGTCCCCGACGCCCGATGGGGGGAGCTTGCGAAGGGATCTGGATTTCCCTGCCAGGACCCTGCATGGTTATTCCCACACCGGCCAGGCGTGGAAGGGAACTGGGCCGTGGGGTTCGGGGACGGGGGTGAATGGGGTGATGGCGGGAAGGGGGTTGTTTGCCCATCCCCAGCCCTGCCCATTCATTAGGCCCTGCGGGGCGTTGCCGTAGGACCCGGGGTTGGGCCAAAGCTCCGTTGTGCTGACCTGTCTCACCCACGCCCTCTGACGGGGCCCAATGCCCCCACCCGACCCCTCCCCCTGCTCTGTGTGCACCCGGGCTGCCCCCACCCGGTGTCGCTATGCAGCCTGGGGCAGAAGAGGGGCAGCCGGGGGGCAAGGGGTTAGCCTGCCGGTGCAGATCTAACAAGGGGGGGAGAAGCGAGTGGAGAGCTCCCGCCCGTCCTCTGGGCTGGGAGCCGGGGCCCCCACCCACAGCCAATTCCATTAGGTCAGCGGGACTCTGGGAACAGAGCGAGGGCAGCTTGGAGTCTGGCCTCTGACATCCCCCCGGGGGATCGCGAGTTGCAGGCTGGGCGCCGGCGGGACCCGTCCCAGGCCCTCCCAGGCCGTTCCCACCCTCCTGCCCGTCCCCGCCCCCCAGCAGCCTGGGCCCGGGGCTGTGGTTCGGTGCCAAGGAGTTGACGGGGGGCCACGTGGGCCCCAGATTTCCCCACACTGACCAGCATCCCCCCTCCCCTCTCGTCCCCCAGGGCTCCACCAAATCCCTCCACACCTCGAAGCAACGGAGCACGCTGCCCAGGTGAGTGGGTGGGGCCAGCAGGGCTGGGGAGGGTACGGCTCGCAGCCTGCTCCTTGTCCGCCGCCCCCCCGTGGAAAGGGGTGTTGGCTCAGACACCGAGTGGGGGGATCCACTGCTGGTCTGGGGGTCCATCAATGGGGTGCATGAGGTGGGCTAAAGCCAGGCACCCTGCTAGTTGGGGGCAATACCCCAGGGAGCTGCCCGCCCTGCAGGGGTGGGGTACCCCCAGGAGCTGGCACACCCCGACACTCAACCCCCTAACCCCCCCCCAGGAGCTTCAGCCTGGACCACGTGATGGAGCGCAAGTACGACTTCGACCTGACCTACATCACCGAGCGCATCATCTCCGTCTTCTTCCCCTCCGCCCTGGAGGAGCAGCGTTATCGCGGCAACCTGCGGGAGGTGGCACAGATGCTGAAGTCCAAGCACGAGGATAAGTACACGGTAGGGGCCGGGGAAAGGCAGCTGGGGCTAGTGGTTACAGCAAGGGGGCTGGGAGCCAGGACTCCTGGGTTCTATCCCCATCTCTGGGGGAAGAGGAGTCTAGTGGTTAGTGCTTGGCGGACTGGGAGTCAGGTTGCTGCCACTGACTTGTCCTGTGACCTTGAGTGAGTCTCAAGCGCCTATCTGTGCCTCAGTTTCCCCCCCGTGTGGCTGCACAGGGATAACAATGTCAATCGTCCTGCCCCCGGCGAGGCTGTGAGGTTTCCTCAGTGTTCACATGGGATTCGTGCTCCGGCCAGCCGCCGGGGCCCTCCCAGCCAGGCAGCAGGGCGGGGGGTGCTGCAGCCAGGGGCGGGATTTGGGCATTTGTGTCTGAGAGGCTGTGGGTTGGAGGCTCAGCCCTGGGCGTGGGTCTCACACCAAGGCCCGTCGGGGCTGGAGGGTTTGGGGATCGCGGGATGGGGCAGGGCCCCTGAGCTACAGTCGCCGTCCCGCAGCCAACGAGCTCGCTCTCTGCCTTGCAGCTTTTCAACCTGTCCGAGAAGCGCCATGACATCAGCAGGCTGAACCCCAAGGTGAGAGGGAAGGGGCACCCCACGTCCTCCGGGGGATCCCTGGGTTCTCCCAGGGCGGGAGCAGCGGGAGAGCTGGCCCTTCCCAGCTGGCTGTGTTAGGGGGGGAGGAATCTAACCGCTTGCACCCCGATGTGGCGCAGGTTCAGGATTTCGGCTGGCCGGACTTGCACGCGCCCCCCCTGGACAAGATCTGCTCCATCTGCAAAGCCATGGAGACCTGGCTGAACTCGGACCCCCAGCACGTCGTGGTGCTGCATTGCAAGGTGAGGGGGCAGGGCGGAGCTGGGGGGCCTGGGGGTGGGCGAGGAATGGGGGGAGGTGGGGGAGGGGGCAGAGCCCCTGCCCCGCGGCGGGGTCATGCTGGGTCGGGGGTTGGGCTGCAGCAGGCAC